CAAATAAATAGAATCGTGCAATACGTGGCCTTTTGTGTCTGGCTTCTTTCACTTAGCGTGTTTTCACGCTTCATCTGTGTTGTAGCATGTATCAATACCACATCGCTTTTTGTGCCTGAATACTATTGCATTATATGGTGTTTGCTACGTTTTACTTACCCATTTTTTTGGTGGACATGTATGCTGTATCCAGCTTTAGGCTTTTGTGAACAATGCTGCTGTGACATTTGTGTACTTGTTTTCAGTTCTTTGGGGTATACACCTGGGAGTAGAATGGTGGTCACCTGAGTCATTCAGTGATCCTGGTTCAACATGGTAATTCTATGAGGAAGCATTCGCTCCATCTTGTGCAGTGGTTGAACAACTTTTCATTTCCATCGGTAATGTACAAAGGCTGTCGTTTTGGAGTTTCGGAGAAGTTTGTGTTTGTAAAGCTGTCGTGCCTCTAAGTGAATCATTAAATGACATTTGGATCGTGGCAAAATGAAACTGATTTATTTTTAAAATGAGATGATGTTATCTCCTCCTCCTTGATTCAATTCTCCCTTCCTCTGGATGAAAGTGACCCAGGATGGCTCATTTTGAGCCCAGCCCCAGGAGGTTCCGCAAGCTGCTGGGCAGGGTCCCCACATGCAAGAAGGTTACCTGTGTAGTATTTTGAAACCGTCACAACTTAACTGTGCAGTCGTAACTCAACATTTTCAGTCACTGAGCTTGACTTAGCTCTGATGCCATCATTTCTGCGGATATTAAAAACCTCCTAATCTTGCCGCTGAAAAGTAACATGGTCTCTTCTGGTTTAAATAGTACAAGTAATTAAAATTTGCTAATTCCGCTGAGGATTTACACTCATTAATTCAAAGGTCAAACTGTCTATGTGGGCTGTTCTGGGCTGGGCTCTTCTTACTCCTTTTCTCCATCCTGGAGAGTTGCACACATCGTGACTCTGGGAGAGGTATGATCGGTCAACACACCCTTCTCGAACTCCCACTCCCTCTGCTTGTGTTTCTGGTAGAAATTGTGTCCTTGCTGTATCTGTCTGTACTGCATTAGTCAGGCCTCTGCGAATGTGCCAGAATTTCCTACTGATACTCACAGCTTTACTAGGCCCTGTGGTAACACAATGTGGACCCCTTGAATCTATTTTCTCAAACACTAGGTCTTCTCCGCTCCCCTAGACCACTCAGCATGTATGGAGCCTGCAGGTGATATGTCACAAATCCAGTGGATCTCAGGGTATTTGCTTACCATTCAATAGTATTTGTCATAAAGTGGGTTCATTGATCTGATGCAATGTTTTGTGGGAATCCCATTTGGGTGATTTGAACTCTGTGAGTCTTCAAATAACGGCGCTACTTGAGGCTCTGTGGATAAGAAGTCATATACAGAATACGTGTTGCAAGTCAAAATAAATCTTTGTTCCTTCCAGGATTGAAGGGGTCCAGTGGAGGCAACTTAGACCGCAAAGTGGACTATTGACGTCTTTGCGGGACACTCCTGTATGAGAATCAGTGTTCATCATTACTGACGGCAGGCTGGACCTTCACCAGCAGCCTTGGTGCGTAGAACCCCACTATTGTGGGCCCGGGCACAAGCTCTTTCCCTGCCTCCATCCTTCTGCCTTCACAAGCCCGTCGTCCCAGCACTGGGATGGCTGATGGCAGAGGCTCAGTGATGTCAGCTGACCAAGTCATTCTCTTCACTGTGTGGTTTAGTGCCTCTTCCTTAGAGAACACTCTATGGTAGTAGCAGTAATAAAGAAAGGCAGATGCAAATGGATCCTTTCTTCAGAACCAAAGTTCTATCTGCATGCTTCTATTCCAGACCTTCTTTTACCTGGTCTAATAGTTCTCCTTCCAGGCCTCTGACGCACCAGCTAAGCTATTTGTTGAGTTCACGCATAGAGTATATCTCTTTCGGCATAAAGATAGTCAGTTGTGTTGCCTAAAGGTCTGCTCATTGGGGGAATGTCACCTCACAGACCTCACCTTCACTGAATAGGCACTCAGTATGGCCAAACTCCATTTGCAGCTTATACACAATAAGGTTGAGATAGCCCATCCATGAACCAAGCTTGCCACTGGAAGAGACACTAATGGGATCATGACAGGTGACATGGACCCACCTTCTTGTGCCTCACATTTGTTTCCCTGGTCATGCCCTGGACATTTTTCCATTGATTTTTAGACAGAGTGAAAGGAAGGAAGGGAGAGAGAGATAGAGAGAGAGAAACATTGATGTGAGAGAGACACATCGATTAGTTGCTCCTGTTTGATCTTGACCAGGGCTTGGAATCGAACCTGCAACCCAGGTTCAAAGTAGCTCTTGACCGGAAATCGAACCTGAGACCCTTCAGTCCTAGGCTGAAACTCTAACTGCTGAGCCAAATCATCCAAGGCTGATCCTAATATTTTACTGCCAGTTATGATCTGTTGTTTCTGGGCCTGCCCCATCTGTGTGCCTGGCAGACCAGCTTCTGTTTGGAACTTTTATACATGTGGTCACTTTGTGCTTTATGGTCAGGCACTCAGTCTTAATCAGGAACAAGTGGCACACTTAGGCAGTTTTTGACAAGGGACATAATTTTGTGCTGTAGATGGCATGACGTTGTTTCAAAACTCTAAAGGTGATTCTTCTATTGTGTCTTGCCTTGCATTCCATTGTACACCATTTCTTACCTTTGATACACATGATAACTTATTGGGTTCTGATGAGTCAAATGATCCAAATGGCAAGATCACCTGCACCCCAACCATTTCCTGCTCTGGCCCTCACTCACAGCAGCCTTTCTGGCCACCTGATTTGTGGGCCAGAGCGTCTTCATATACAGCCAGCTTCCAGCAATGGGACATGGATTTGGTTGAGATGGGTGTCTTCAGTTGAGAGCAATTTTCAAGAAGGTTGACAGCCATGGGCTGTCATCTGGTGGCACCACACCTCTGCAGCTGAGGGCAAAATCCCTTCAGTCTCCAAGAGGTCCTGTTAGCACAGAGTCTCCTGTGGCTCAAAGCAGCGTGGCTGACAGCTGACTTATCCACAGCCAAAGGAGCCGGAGACGGTAGGATGCCAGAAATGTGCTGAGAAAGAACTTGCCAAACTACTATTCTATATCCATCCAATATACTTTATGAATAAATGTGAAATAAAAACATTTTCAGGCAAAAACAGAAAAAAAAAAGAGAGAAGATTTTCCCCCAGCAGTCTCTTGCTAAGGAAATTAATTCTAAAGGATATATTTCAAGCAAAAGAAAAATGTTCTGAGATGAATACAAGAAGAAATGAAGAACACAGAATGTGGCTAATGTGTATGTAAATCTAAGTGAACATTGGCATATGAAACAACAACAATGATATTTTGTGGATTTTATTTTAAAATTTCTGGAAATATGGTTAATATATGAATTATACATAAGCTTTAATAATTTGCACCTCTGAGAGAAGCCAAAGTAAAGAGTAAGATGAGCATAACTTTGGGTAAAACTTTACTTTAGACACAGTGCTTTCCTCTTTAAGAAAATAAAATTGGAAGAATATGCAAACAAAAACTACCAAATGGCATGAAAATAAACAATTTTAAATGTGGAGTATTGCACAGAATTCACATCCCAACATGTGGTTTTTGTGATGGTTATTTAATAGCAGATTTTTAAAAAAATTAAGACACCATGGTTAAATTGCATTTTTTTCTGTCCCACCTCCTCTGAAAGATGATTCTCAACCACTTGCCTAGTATCTATTGATTGAAAACCATTTGGAAATTAATCCATCTGTCAACGAAATGCAAACACCTCTGGAGTGAAACTAAGCAGCTGTTTAAAAGTTCAGAGCTTCACTAGAAAAAGAAATCCCTTTCCTTAACACTGACTCTGTTTACATTATCCCAAAACAATGACTCATTCAAGAAAAAATCCAGTATTTCCAAGTTGTGTAAACACAACCATTATTTATAAGGAGCTTTACAAGAAGACCCAAGACTAACAGCTTCCCAGTTGAGGAACTGCTAAGCACCAGAGTTAGTAACGTTAGACTGTGTGTGTGTGTGTGTGTGTGTGTGTGTGTGTGTTTGGGTGTGTGGGTGTGTGTTAAATTCAGAACTCTATGTGGTTGTGGGCCGCACTTGAAATTCACAACATCTCTGGCTCCCTTTATTATACAGAATCAACCAACAAACTTGGAATAAATAAAACTCTTACAAGTAGCAGTGTGATTTGTAATTCTAAGCAGCCTATTTATACCATGCAGAAATTAGCAAATGTTTTCCATTTAAGCAAAGACATAACTTAGTCACTTTTTAAAAGTTATTTCCTCATTAACTACGGAGGAAATTGCGTGGCGGGTAAGCTCTGGACTCTGACGGCGGGGTTTGAACACCAGCCCCGGCCCACGCGGCCAGGAGCTCCTCCCGCCGCCTGGGTCTCTGCACCTGCCAAAGAACAAAGACAGTGTGTCTCACAGACTATCTGTGAGGACAGAAGAGTGTGCATTTGCAAAGACAACTGTGTGCGAATTTTGAAGAATGTGAGTGATTTGATATCATGCTCGTCACGTAGTACTTAATACAAGTTACCTCTTATTTTAAATCATCAACCACTTTGCTGCATTTAATATTGATGATCCGTAATTAATTAATTAATTGATACTCAGCCCGTGCAGCTTTTGGCAATGAGTGCTTGTTCAGATAGCTTTTCTAGGAATGAAAACTGCTGCCAGTCACTAAGTTTCATTCGAGTAAATTACTAGGTAGCTCAATAGCCGGGCATGTTTAATTACTGGGGACAGTTAACATACCCCTGCAGGAAGCCTGGAGGCCCAGCTGTCCAAACCAGCCGCTTCCCAGGAGCTATCAGTTAGGTTCCTGGCAGGGAAAAGGTGATACTCTCCAACCGGGTATGGAGGCGAGTTTAATAAAGGACTGTTGACTAGACTGTGGGCAGGCGCGGGGGGAAATCTGCAAACAAAGCCCCGGGAGTTAGTGCAGGTGGTAGAACAGCCATCATTTCTGAGTCTGAAAGGACGGGGCGGGGCGTGACTTCAGGAACCTGGAGTAGACGGCTGTGCAGAGGGGACTCCTGCCAGGGCTGTGACCTTTGATATCAAGACGTAGTGGATGCTGCTTTCTGGCCAGGAAGGAGCTGGGGGATAAATATCTCAACCTTACCCTCTTCTTGCTCTTTCAGCCACAGCCTGGTGCTTCTGATCGACCAGATCCTAGCTGAGAAGCCTGAGGTCCAGGGAGCCTGCTGATCAAGTCCATGAAGGTCAGTCTTTTAGACACAGGACACTGAAGAGGGAATTTGCAAGGGCAAACAGAAGGCAGCCAGCATCCTAATTATTCAGGGTTTCCCATAACCAGGGAGGGAACTGTTAAAATCGATTTTGCACACATTGCAAGCTCAGGCCATCTCCGCCCAACTAGATGGTGCAGAGCTCTGGACCCCTAAGCACATTTCCGCAGCTGGGCTCCGTGCAAAGCAGCTCCAGGAGGAAAACCCTGGCCTGCCGGCAGGTCATGTCTCTGCAGAGACAAGGTAAACTTTCACCAGGCCCAAATGCTATCAGGCTTTGTGAACTTCTAACCATTAAGTCCCCAGATTAGAGGAACAATTTGATCCAAATGTAGGTATCCCTTGTCTAGGTGGGCAGAGCCTGATTGTAAGCCACAAGGAGAACATCGATGCATGTTATGAGGACCACACATGGGGTTACACAGTGTGCTTGACTACTAAATGGGTTTTATCACAGATACTATGTTTCATGCTCTTCAGCCCCCTTGTAGCTTTGAGACGCCCTGCAGCCCAGCCCATTGTTTGAGGGCAACCTTGAGAGAGACCCTGGGCCAGAACTAACCAGCGAAGACTTCCTGGCTTCCTGACCCTCAGGAACTTTATGGAGTATTACATGTTTGTCATTAGTCAGCAGTGAAGAACTGCAGTAACATACAAGACATTTTGCAAGAGGCCAAGGGCATTCACTGAAAACTGATCAAGGGGCCGTCTCCACAGAGTGAGCACGAAGCTTGGGAGAGAGGTAGCAGGGTTGGCTGGGAAAAGCAGATTTCGCTGTAATGGACAAGGAGTGTGTGGCGAAACTGCCTATATGTTCAAGTAAAATACGGCTACTGACAGATAAAGAAACAGACATTTTTCTGAGCATTTACTCTGCATATTATTTATTCTTTGCAAAAATTTGGTGGTTCTGTGTTATACATTTTTATCTTTTTTTTTTTTACAGGAAAGACACTCAACGTCAGAAGTAGATACCCCTGCTGGAACTCACGCAGAGCACACGAGAGCGCTCTGATTAGGACCCGGGGCAGTCCTGACTCCCAAGTTCCCTCTCCTTCTGTGCTTCTGTGCACTGAGTAAAGAAAAGAATTGCTGATCCAGGGAGGGCATATTGGGAGGTGAGGTAAGATACACAGAAGTGTCAGAGGGGACATTATTCAGTCTTTTGGTAGAAGGAGAAAAAGCGGTCTGTGGTCAAAAACAAAACAAACCCCAGTGAAAACATACGGCTAATCAAGAAGAGGAGGCGAAGAGGGTCTTACCAGTGAACAGAAAATATTCTGGGTGAAGATAGAGCTCAGAGTGAGAGAAGCCCCATGTTTGGCCACCTCTTCAAGGCCAGATCTACATGCAGACCATGGGTGTCTCTGCTCTCGGGCAGGCGGACCCTCCTGACCCGCCCCTGAGACATACACCAGGCAAAGTGACCCGAGAACATCTGAGCCGCAGAGCAGATCGGGAGGAGAACGGGTCTTGGAAAGTCCCCCAGCAGGAGGGGGAAGAATCAAGGAGCATTTTGCCGAGAAGGTGCCACATGGTGCCACTGTTTTCTATTTCTGAGTGGTTGGTGTCCAGCTGACAGAAAAGCCACAGTGAGTAAAAATGCGGGGAGAAAATATCCTTGTGTATGGGGGAGTGGTGAGAGAAGAGGTAGGAGGTAGATCGGGGGACTAAGTTCCAGGGGAAATGCTCAGATGACATTGTGGGTGAAGCGGTTACACAGGAACGGCTCAGAGCTAATTCTATCAGGATGGACGTGGGTTATTCCATCGGAAGGGTTGTGACTCCACATTATGGTGGACAGCTGAGGCTTGTTCCCACTGAGACTCTGGGGGGTCATGTAGGATCCACCCCGGAATTGTCACTGAGAAGGGATTCACCCACAGCCCCCAAATGTGCACTGACCAAGGTTACCCCGTAGGAAACCAATCATCCGGATTTACGTGGACATTAGAACTGATGAGATGTCTTTGGCATCCGAGGCCAGGTGTCAGGGAAGTCTGGCAGAAAGCAGGACTCGGTGCAGCTGAGGCAGGGTTTGAGCCGCCCGAGGGTGACTGTGGCAGCCCTGGGGGAACTCGGAGACGTTGAGGGGCATCTCAAGAAATACTTAATACAAATATCACCTTAAAAAGTTGGCTGAGCAAAGATAAAATATTTGAAGACAATACGAATACTCTAATTCAAAAACACACGATCCTGCTTGTGTGGGACAGAGGTGTAGGACAGAGAAAATGCTGAGCAGAACATGAAAGAAGACATTTTCACTGAATTTATTGGGGTGACACTGTTAATAAAATACACAGGTTTCAAGTACATAATCCTATAGCACATCATCCGTACACTGTATTGTGTGATCATCACCCCAATTCAGGCTCCTTCCGTCACCATCTATCCCTCTCACGAGCTTCTACGTCCCCACGCCCCACCCCACCCCCGTCAGTCGCCACACGTTGTCTGTGCCCATGAGTCTGAAAGAAGAGATTTTAATTGAACCATTTCCTTGATCATTGTCATAGATTTGCTCATTCTTGCTCAGGAGCAAAAGTGGAAATGGCCCTGAATTCCCCATTACTTATTTTGTCATTTGTTTTATGTCAGTATATTTAAATTAGTTGTTTAAGTATTCTTATTCCATTGAAGGGGTTCAGTCATTTTTATCACATTTTGTTGCTGTTCTTTTAAAGTCCTAAGTCTCCCCCCAACACCACACACACACACACACACACACACACACACACACACACAGACTGCCAGAGTCAAGATTTCAGTGCTCTGAGAGATCAAACTCACATCAGCATCATCCTTTACAGACTGGGTTTTCAGTCTGTTTCAAGTTAAAACAACCACTGTGACAGTTTTCCGCCAAGGGTTGCTGCCCTGGGCTTACAGTAACACGTAGACCGGTGACCACAACTCAGAACGAATGACAGTCAGGAGGGAGCTTAGGAGAAATCCTGCTTTTTCATATAGAAATTCTAAAACAGCAAATCTCTCATTGTGTGTCTTCTACGTGCCCATTGCTATCCATCTTCCTCACATTCCCTGGGAGTACACAAAGGAGGTGTAACCATCTCCACTGCTACCGAAGAGAGAATGGACCAGCTGAGTGGTTCATGATCAGAGAGGCAGAGGCAGGATTTAAGTGCAGGCGTCTCTGGCTCTGCAGCTCTGTTCCTTCCCGGCACCTGGGGCCTTGTCACATGCCTCGTGCTGGTCTTCCTGGAAATCAGCATACGCGATGCACTGCACCTCTCCTTCTTATGTAACAACCCGGAGGAGTGGGGAGCGCCATCTGCTCCGGGAACAACATATTTGAGTCCATACGGCAAATAAGCTGGCAGAAACAGAAGGATTGAGACATTGCCTTTTGGCATTCCTGACTTACTCTGTATTTATAAAAGAGAAATACATAGTCCAACATGTTGATTTCACAAGCCTATCATTATCCTTCGTTATGAAATAAGCAGAATCAGGGACATCATGTATAAAACAAGAGATCCTTGTTTTGGAAGATGATGTCAGGCAGGAGGAGTTTTTTCTTTGTTTATTTGTTTGTTTGTTTTTATCTCCTACCTCCTAAAGCACTAGCTTACAGGTGACTTCATAAAATATACTCAATACTGAGGCCAATGAGGGAGCAAAACACGTAAGGGAGAGAAGCTTGGGATTAGTTCTTAAAAGCACAAGATCACCAAATTGTTTATAAGATAAAATAAAACAGTGGGTCCAAAACTGATCATCCGATTTCACCTGAAGAGCTTTACATACATATACAGAGACCTGATTCAAACTGCAGGCAGCACTTCCAAGAATAAAGCTCTGGCCTCCATTAAAAATCTGCTGTGGTCATTCTATCATCAGTTTCAGTTTGGAGCCACTGAGGAAGCATTTGTAAGCTAATACATGAGCCGCCTACACATGCACTTTAATTTCAATGTGCAGTCTTGAAGAATAAACTTATAATTTTTGTTAGTATGAATTCTAAAGGCTCAGTAATAAAAGAAACATTTAAAGGTCAGTATAAGGAATTCCAGTTGGCTCTCATGTGCTTTTCCGGAAGTCACTAAAAATCTCAAAAACCTTCAAGGAGCTCCTATTGATAGTCACATTTGTCTGACTCACTGAAACAGGGGAGCTCACCAGGAAGCCACTGTGAATTTTGTATCAGGCATATGCCCATGCTTCTAGTAACAGCCTCTCTTTTTTCTTGGGGAAGGAAATTTTAGTCCACATTCAAACACAGCACGAATGGAGAAGAGTATTCTGGGGCATGGGATAATTCTCTTCTGCGGTGCAGTTGTGGCTAGAAATGAGAGACAACAGAAAAACTAGCCTACTCTTTCAATCTTTATAATAGGAAAAAAGTATGAAATGAATAAACTGAGCACTTTCATTGATTGGGGTTCATTCAGGAAACAAATCACAGCAGTTATTTCAACAGGGAGAATTTAATATAGGGAATTTGCTCATCAAGTGTGAAGGACCGGAAAAAGAAAAAGGAGATAATTCAAAGGGATCATTACAAAAAGCTGCTATCATGCTTAGGGGCAGAGAAATAAAAAAAAAATTAAAAAAAAATTAAAAAGAAGAGGCTAAGATTATTATACGCTTATGAAGGGGGGCTACAAAATTAAGACTCAGAATTCCAAGAATGTTGCACCTATCTGGCTGCTGCTGGTATTTTAGGGGCTTGGAGGAGGGGCTCTGAATGGGGCTCTAATCTCCAGGTAGGGAATGCTGCCCAGCTGATGCTGTTACTTCAGAAGATGGAGTTTCTTCCTATGTTACTGTGACCCAGACACATCAGGAGTAGGCGCTGTCTGCCTGGTGCTTCGAAGGGGCACAATGAGGTGGGTAGTGAGACTGCTCTGATAAGCTGCAAGCTTTTATTCTTCTGCCTCCGGAATAAAAGGCCATGGTAGAATGACTTGACAGGAAAAATAAACACGCATAAACAAACAAGTCTCCCTTTCTTTCCTCCTGCCCTGCATTCCTCCTACTGATGGAAACCGAGGGTAGGCCTTCTGACAACAGAGAACTGTGTCGTCTGCAGAACTGGCATCACCTAGCAGAGCACGGGAAAGTGGACTTGAATCCTAACACCCAGAGCGTCATTCGGGGGAAAGGTTCAGAAATTAGAAACAGAATAAGCCCAAAGAAAGTGGAGGTTAGGAAGAATAAAGGGAAGAACAGAAATGTCTAAAATGAGACATCAACATTTGACGAAAAGGACCAACAAAACAAAATGCTGGTTCTTTGGGAAAACGAATAAAACAAAACTCTGGCAATTTTTGAGTAAGAAAAAAGGAGAAAGAAGAAACAATATTACTAATGAAAACAGTGTAACTAAAGATGCAACAAAGATAATAAATGCAATGAAAATGAGTAACTTTATGTGAACAACTAAGTTAGGTAAAACAGACATCTCAAGGAATAATAAAATTATTAAAGCTGGCACAGTAAGATATAGAAAATTAATACTCTTAAAGAAGCAATGAAATTAACATAGCAGTCAAAAATACTTTCACTCACAAAAAGGATTAAACTCTCTAGGTTCAGACCCTCCCAAAAAAGTAGACAACCATTGCTGTTTGCTTACTTTGGTCTCAATGTCTTAGATTTCTTTAAATATAATATACACTTGTTTTATATTCTGTACCTAATAATTCCTGTACCTATAGTCCTGAAAGAGGGAGGTGATTGTAATTATTGTTTATTGTTTCCATTGATGCTGACTCATAGTCGCTTGCCTGCTTGGGTACTTGGTGTTTAATTTTGAACTCACTGTTTGATTTTAATTGTGTGATATCCATGCACCTAAATTATGGTATCTTTCTTCCAGAGAGGGTTTGCTTCTATTTCTGCTTCTGTTTTTACCAGTAGCCAAGAGACACCATTGACATGGGCCATTCCGGCTTGCCTTAAGGTTTTAGGCTCAGCACTAGAGTACCAGACTTGGCTTCACCAACTGTGCTGGCCCAGAGCATCCTGATGGTCCCGAGATCCTGCTTGGGGCAAGCTGCCCCACCCCCACCCAGCTGCTCCAGTCGGAGCTCCCCTCTAGTTCAGCCCTAGCCAGTCTTTTTGGGGAGGAAATGACACAGATTTGCCTTTCACTTGGAAGATCAACCATTCCTCAAAAAGCAAGTCCTGGAGAAAGCTTCGTGGTGAACACTGAGCGTGGAGGAAGGGTTTAGGGATAGAGAGGAAGCTTCAAAGCTGTGAGAAGCTTTATTTCTTAAGCTGAGTGGTGGGTACAGGAGGCTTATTTTATATATTTAATTCATTAATATTATTTAAGAATATTTATGGATGACACTCCTCTGTATGTATCCTATATTTTAGGAGAAGCTAAAGAAGAGTTTGTGGCTGTTTTACTAAAATCCCTCTGTGACGTTGGGAGGACACAAAGACACCAGCAGCAGTACTTTGCACAACTCCTACTATAGACAGTGCCCTCAGCACAGGTGTCAGGGCCCTAAGGAACAGCCGGGCACAGCGGGCACAGCTGGAGACACACCCAGAGTGAGCTGGGTGGGAAGGAGGGAAATGACATATGGTAGCCTTGTGGGTTTGTTCATGGGAAGACTTTTGGGGAATCTCATCTGAAATTGAGAGGAATCTGGGGTGAAGCACTCACAGATATGGTGTGAATAGTTCAGGGAAATATTGTATATGCTGAGTCTATAAGCTACTGCAGCCCTGGGTTTAAGGATCATGCAAATATCACATAAATAATAGCCCAGATTCCCCTGTGGGTCTTGAGAGCATCCTTAAAATCGTTGCTTTCACATAATAGCAACACCAGTTGTAGTTGCTCTTGTATTTCAAGTCTACGCACATCTTTTTGGTTGCCCAGTAACATACCACGGAGAAGCAATTTACAAATGTAGCCATGGTGCTTAGAGACATTAATTCCACTCTTATGCTGAACAGATTTTTCTCAGGGTGTGTTTTTTCCACTGTAGGACCAGGACCATTAAGATAGCAGCATAGTAAAGATATCTAACTCTTATCTATGGGTCAGGATATTAAAAAGCCATATAATTGGACACCTGTCTAGAAATATTATTAACTATTACATTGAAACTGACCTAGTAGTAAATGAGAAAACAGCAAGCTAGGGAGGTTTGGATAATTTCACTCAATTCTATGTTCTGCCCAATTTACCAGGTCAAATATAGATATACATGTTTGAAAATCAGTCATGTAATATTTCTGGACAATTTTCATAAAATGGATTATCTGTCATAGTTCTCTAAAGCTTTGACCTCTTGAGACACAGTAACACTTTAGGATGGTGCTCTGAGCCAGACTTACACAGCATTCGCCAGCACGCATAATTTGAGGGGCCCCAAGGGCTGCACACCCAAAAATAATAACTCTATGCACTGTCTCCTATTGTCTCTGAAAGTTGGATTCATTGCCCACATGTCTTCTGGAGTTGAAAGATTGTTTGTCTTTGTTCTTTCCTTTTTAATAATCTGTTTGTTTGTTTTTACTATCAATGAGGAATGTCCAATTGATAAAGAAGTGTTTTCTGGTTGTCTTTTATTTGCTCTTGTTACCTGGCAAACAACCTAATTCTTAATGATGCCGGTACATAGGAGAGTAGCAATCACAGTCATGATGGTTGTTATTGTTGCTAGAATTGAGATACAACTTGCATGAATTGAACAGTGTTCAGTATTGAGCTCAATAAATTTTTACATGTGCGTATACCCAAGTAACCACTCCCCAGAGGTTCCTTCCTGTCTCTTTCCAGTCAATACCCAGCTCTGTCTCCCCTCCAACCCACACCAAAAGGTAAACAGTTCTGACTTCTATCACCATAGCTTGGTTGTGCCTATTTTAGAAATTTTATAAATAGAATTATTCACTATGTGCTCCTTGGTGTCTGGCTTTTTCAACTTCACTTTATGTGGGTGAGACTCATTCATGTTGTTGCATTTATCAGTGGCTTGTTCTTTTTCATTGCTGCGTAATCTTCTATAAATATACCACAATTAATCCATTCTACTGTTGGTAGACATTTGTTGGTGTTGTAATTTTTTTTCCAGCATTTGATTAGTTTAATTAAACTGTTGTGAACATGTTTTCACATTGAGCTCAGTGGGCATATATGTTTTTTCTCCAGGAATTCCTGGATCACAGGGTATGCCTATGTTTAGCTTAAGTAGACAGCACCCGAGCTGTTTGCTGAGAGGGTAGTTTTGATGGGAGGTATTCTGGTGCTTCTCTGCTTTTCTCTTTCTTACCTTGTGCCCTAAATCATCCTGGTTCCCTTATACTTTGTATCCTGTTGGATTCAGCGAATCCCAGCAGTTGATTGGAGAATGGGGAGGGAGGGAGGGAACGGTATTTATCTCTTCTGTTGTCTCCCTGCTTCATCACTGTGGAGAGGGGCTCCGTTCTCCTCCAGCTACCTCTTCTACCAGACAGCCCCTCTTCCACTGGTTCCACGAACACCACCCTTCACAGCTTCCTTAGACTCGGCAGGCAATAATGGACACCTGTTGTTGCTCGTCCCTGAGTGATTCTTCACCACCTAGCACGGAGTTCTTAACCTGACTCACATCACTGAAAAATAATAATTCTATAAAAATCCCAAACCTCTATGTTATCTTTTCTTTGACTGATACGGGAGGAAATAAAGACAATGTTAAGAAAGGACAGAATGTGGAGTCCCTGCTCGGCACAAGAGAATGGGCCCAGGACAGAGATCGCACTAAGAGTTCTTATTTAGGGCGATTCAAGTCAACAGCTCTATTGGGTGTGGACAGAGTGCTGACCAACATACAGATGAGGTTTCCATCCACAAGTAGGTTTGTTGACCAGTAGACCTTGACTTTGATCCTGGCTGCACGTGATTCTACAAAGCCTCGATTTTCACTTATAGAATGGAAATACTGATTATACCTGTTTCAGTTTGGCCAGTAGCTCAATCCCTCTGAAGTTGTCAGAGTGTGAAGAAAATCAAGGTAACCACTCAGCACAAAGGAGATAGAGGTTTTGCAATTTCATAAAAGAAATTCATCCAGCGGTGGTAGGAATATGTAGGAAGTATTCTCGAACTACTCAGAATCTTGGAGTCAAGGAAGGTCCCATATACACTGTAATTTCAGGAAAATACAACCACTAACCAATGATAGGAAAGCTTGCTTCAGGGGTGGCAATCTAGTCCAGTGGTTAAGATGAAACAAAAGTTTAAGGGTCATGTCTGAGTAGGAATCCAGACGTTGTCTCTGATTGACGATATACCCTTGATCCTGTGATGATCATGTCTCAGTTCTGTTCACTGTCAAATGGGGACAACCATTCTTATACCTTTCTAGTAATTGTTATTAAAACTTTTTTGCACACACAATCAGATACGTGAACATCATGAGCATGGTCCTTCCTACTTCAGCTAATTGCTGCGATAAGCTGTCAGGAAATGCAAAGCTGCAGAGGTCAGAGCTGCAGGTGACACATGGGAGGGGGACGTTGAGCGGATGTGTGGGTGGTAGGGAAGGAGATGCATCGGAACACAAGACCTCAACACCGACTAGCATGAAGTCTGGAAAAGGAGATGCGTGGGAACACAAGACCTCAACATTGAAAAGGCATGAAGTTTGGAAACAGTGATGTGGGTCTTGAATAAGATCTTGACTCCAGGATAGAAAATTAGAATCTGCTATGCCTGAGCAGGGGCAATCAGAGGCAGGCCATTAAAGTATGTAACTTCAACTTGATCTGTCTTCAGCAAGTTTTTATTTGTATTATTTTTTAAACAACAGACATTTGGATAAGTTCTTCCACAAGCACAGCACTCAATTCCTACCATCTTCATGTTGCTTATCTTAGAGATACAATATCAAGGGCATTCTGTGTGTGTGTGTGTGTGTGTGTGTGTGTGTGTTTCTCACTGTGGATTGTCAGTAACTGCATATTTCAAAGCAAAGCCTGGCATTAGTTAGCCAGAATAGAAGCAGGGGGAAATAAAGGGATTTATGAGAAAACAAATTCCAGTTTGTCTGCAGGCTTGCATGCCAAAGCAAAAAAGTTCCGAGAGCAGCTAAGGCTCTGGGAAAATTCCGATAACACTGAAGGGTGAGGAAATAGTCAAGGAAGCACGCGATATGCTTCTGGCATCCCGCTGGTGATTCAGAAAATTCTGATTCAAAAACAAGAATTGTTTTCAAAGGTCTTTTGACAGAACCGACAGCTATTCAGCCGTCAACCACTCTCCAGAGACCCTAATGAGCTCTTCCTTGTCAGGTCTTTCTGTCTAAACAGGGAATTGCTAGTCTCTGTCTGCCACCCCACCGTGAATGCGCTTACCTTTGCTCATGCATAGGATATGTTATTATTTAATGCAAACACTTGTTCGGGTTGATCACTAGGTTGTTTCTGTCAACCTCTATCAATGTACTCTTTAGTGTGTCAGCAACTCAACAGCAAAGTCTGCAGGTGAACAGGTGGTCAGGAAGGGCTTTTCCCCTCACCACTCCACATTAAAGGTGTTTTCCCATTTTTAATGTTAACATTCTTCCTTAGTGGAGAATGGTGGTCAAGAGCATGGATCTTAGAGTAATTGAACCAGAATTCTGAGTTCTGGTCAAATTCTTCTTGGTTCTCTTTTCCTACATCCATTGCTTCTCTCTAAAGTTATGTATCATCAATGTATTTAGAATGAACTCCTATTGTGCTCTGTCATGAAGTTTTCTTTTCTTTGGTTAAAATCTCTTCAGCCTGGCTGCTGGTGTGGCTCAGTGGTTGAGCATCATCCCATGCACCAAGAGGTCACTGGTTTGATTCCCCATCAGGGCACATGTCTGGGTTGTGGGCTCGATTCCCAGCGTGGGGCGTGCAGGAGGCGGCCGATTGATGTTTCTCTCTCATTGGTGTTTCTATCTCTCTCTCCCTAGTTCTCTAAAAAAATCAATAAAAACATATTTAAAAATCTCTTCAGATACCTCGATTCTCTTAGTAAATCTGCTTCATATGTTTGAGAAGAGAAGTTACCCATTTCATAAAAAAGAGATGAAAAAACTAAAACAACAACAAAAACAAATCTTCAAACACACCATGCGACTATGTTCTTCAATCTTTATTTCTACAATCAAAAAAATAGGGAAGAAAGCAATGAAGTGAAGTATGACATGAAGAAGGAAGGAGAAGGGAGATAGACATAACAAAAGCAGTCAGTGTCTACATCTTATAACATACATTTAACTTCTGGTATGACCAAGTAAACCCTTACTGGACCAACCGTCCTAAAGATAGTAATCAAATCTCTGTACGAAAATTTAAAAAATGATTTTTACACACTAAAGACAAAAGAAAATGAGGCAAATTCTGGGCGGAAGTTAACACTTGGGTGAGAGGAATGATGTAAGTGTATGTCCCATTTTTACAGGTGGCACTTGTCTTTCTGGCCAGAAAAAATGAGAGCACTGAGAACCAAGAATTGAAAGAGTCCCAGGGACCTGTGGAACAACATAAAATGATGCAGCATACGTGTAATTGGAGTTCTAGAAGGGGGGGGGGGTAGTAAATATGCTTTAAGAAATAACTGAAAATATTTCATCAATTTGGTAAAAGACATTAATTTTCAGGCATAAGATGTTCAGTGAATCTAAAAAGGACAAATGGAAAGAAAACCACACCTATTCACATTGTAGTCAATCTACTAGAAAATCCAAGTTGAGAAGGAAAATTAGCTTAAAAGCAACTAGAGAAAAATGACACATTATAAATAGTAGAACAGTGATCAAATTCCACTGACTTCTCAACAAAAACTGGAGGCCAGAAGACAGTATAACAAAAGAATGTGCTAAAAGAATGAAACTTGAAGGCAGTGTTCCATATCCAGGAAAACAATCCAAATATCTGTCAAGAAATCAAGACAATAGCTCAGAAAAAAAATGAAGAGAATCAATTATCAGCAGACCTGTGTTACAAAAAATGTTAAGGAAATTCTTCAGAACTAGAGGAAAGAATAACAGATAGAAACTCAGATATTCAAGAAGGAATCAAAAGCATTAGAAAGGTCTAGAAAAATATAAAGACTATTTTTTATTCTTAATTTCTTTAAAATATGTAGGGCATTTTAAAAGACAGTGTAATATTGTTTATGAGGTATTTACTACACAAAGATGCAATGAATGTGACAATTATAATGTAAAGGACAAAGGAAACGGATAAATGGACCTATATGATTGAAAATTTCTGCATTTTCTGTAGAGTAACTCAATATTAAATTTAATAAGACTAAACAGTTAGAGGTGTACATTTTAATTCCAAAGCACTCACTAAAAATAAATCACTATAGGTTAAAAACAAAGAAACATAGTTCAGAAGACAATATATACGTTCAAATTATCTTCAAATTTGGATTGCAAAATACCTGAATATACCTCATGCAATCGATTGTAATTATGTTTTTCAATTCTGAATCTATACATTATTCTAGGAAAAGAAATATGCATTAGGAGAAGTCTTAGAATGAGTGCTGTTTACTTAGATTTAAGACCAGAGTATTCTTAAGGAAGACTTCTGTATTGGGGTTAAAATAATTTGTGGTTCAGGATTTGGGTTTTAACTGCTAAATCTAAAACCATCTGCTCTTTCCCATGAAACTCTTTTTGACCTTGTTTCCCTCGTCCCATATTTAGTGTGCCCCTGAGAGGAGGTTTCTGCTCCCCTTCCTTCTCATTTACATACTCGGAGTAAATATGGTAGCTTGTGAGGGGGGAGTGTTTGGATATCACCGGAAAGAAAATGAATGGGTCTGAAATTCCTGTAACACTCATGCATTATTATTTTTTTCTCTTCTCCTAAGAATAGATGAAAATAATAAATCGTGACTATTATTTTAAGCAAGACATGGCAATCAAGGTTATAGAGATCTCACTCGTAAGATACATGTCTTTCTCATTTAAGAATAATAAAAATATGCACATTTCTTT